GACAATGAAGATTCGAAAATGGAGGTTGATACTCCGCAAACAGGAACACCGAAGGAAAATACCAAGAGGGGGGGCCAAGTCAAGGAGGTGGTGTTATCCTCGGATGCATTATATCCGTTATTCTGGCCTCTTCAGGAAATGTTCAGTCAACCTCTGAAGCTCTTTGACCAGTCTTGCATGCAAAACTTTAAACGTGGCATTGAAGAAACGGTCAAAAAATTCTCAGATTATCCTTCCGATGAGGGACAACCAGCGCCAAACACTTCTGATGAGGCCAAAACCAGTCTCAAACGAAAGAGAAAAGACGAAGAAAAGGAAGTACTCCTAGAAGCATTCAACCCAAAGTATCTTACCAGCAAGGATCTATTTGAGCTAGAGGTAAACCCTTCCCTCCTTTCTTATACAGCTTAAAACTTTCACCAACTAATTATATCCACAGATCAGCGATCTCACTTTCAGACGCCATATCATGGTGCAAGCTCTGATTACCCTCAACTTCATCTTATCTTGGACCGCTGAGGCGAAGAAGAAGTACGACAAGCTGAATGTACAAAACAAATCGGTCCTGTATGCGACCGAATTCAATGACGATGACGTGAGTACGAACACAATCGGCTGTGCCTAGACTTAGTATCTAACCTATTCTAGGCGAAATGGGCCAAAGAGATGAAGACCAAAATCTCCGAACATATGAGGAGGGACACACCCGGAAGGATATTTTACCGGATGGTCGATACTGTTCTCGCTAGGGACAAGAACTGGGTGTATTGGAAGATGGCGAGCTGTCCCACGATTACCCGAAATCCTGTCAACCCCCAGACATATGCCGATGCCCAGTCATCAGCTCAAAGGTCTGCGACAAGCAAGCGGCTTCGGCCAAACCCCATGGGTGCTGTATCACTAGACTTTCTCCAACCATTAGATGGAGAAGAGTCGCTCGAGAAGTTCAAAGAGCCTGAACGACACCGACTACCAGATCTCGACAGCTTCAAGACTGGTATTGCTGATGACGATTTTGCGATAAGTATGGCATCAAATGACCTGAACAAGGCGACGGCAGTAGCCGGCAAAGCCAGCAAGAGCTGGAGGGCCTTGCGAGTCGCTGGCAAGTTCAAGTTGGCATCATTTGACAAGATCGACGACCCGCAGAACATCAATCCAGTCTTCCTAGCACTCAGCGACGAGGATGGAGACAATGACAACGGCGAGGTTGAGGACCTTCCTGATAACAGATCGCCTATCATTGTTTCCAGCTCTGAGCAGGGAAATCTGCCCGACATCATTGACAAGCTGTTGGGTTCTCACAAGGGCGTTTTTGGAAAGGTTGTCCGTCACACGACCCGCGAGCCGAATGAGGGCGAAGTCAATGGCAAGGACTATTACTTCGTCAAAACCCCCGAATTCAACCAGCTACGTGACGGTGACCGTCTCATTGAATTCACGGAAACGTCGGATGTGAGCTACGGGACAAGTATCAAGGTCCTTGATGCGATTTCCGATAATGACAAGATTCCTATTGTTCAATTAGATGTCGAGGTACGTTGCCCCCTGAATCCCTTCTCCTTCCATAACCCCCCTCATCTACAAGTGGTTCTAACAATCAATGCAGGCAGCTCAATTCGCCAAAGACATGGGCTACCAAGCACGGTACATTTTCATCAGCCCATCTCAGAAGCAGCCAACAGACACAGACATGGACACAACCGCCGATAGACCCACAGACAATGCAGAAGAATCAGCCAAAACAAAGACTCCTGAGTTCTTCAACACAACCATTAATTTTGAAGATGTTGATCAAGCGGCGGGAAGCTTGTGGGAGTTTATTTCGAAGGCTAGGGAGCAAGAAGAGCCATATGACTCGACATAAAGATACCACGAAACTGAGTTCGGAGGTGGACGATGGACATCAGCCGCAAGATGTGCGATTTTGGTGTTGGGCGACTACTCACCACAGGATAGATACATAGGTACATACTCTCAGCGACATCATGAATTTTAGATACCCTCAAACCTCACGATAATACGATGTGCCTTCGAAATGAGAAACTGCATGGCATTCTAACTTAATAATCTAATTGTACGGCGGCTGCATATTCCCAGTAGAGATTCCTGTATTGTTCAACATGTCGAATCCCAAACAAGCCGACATCCACTTCGCTAAGCCGGTACGCATCGAACAGAAGAACAGATTGAGCGGAGTTAAGTGCAAACAAAACAAAGTATCCATTTACTCCTCGTCGGAAGATTCTTCCTCATCGGCTTCCTGGAGCCAGGTAAGGAATGGCGCAGCAGCCTTGCGAACCTTCTTAGAAATAGAAATGTCCGTGTACTTCTTGCTCGCCTTAGAGCCCCACGCCATACAAACTTCCTCGCTGACCAAGTCGTGATGGTAGTACAGTTGGAGAATCTTGACAACCTGGTCGTAAAGTCCGGGGTGCTCGGTTCCAAGCTGCCCAATAAGACGCTCAGTTCCACCCAGCAAAGCCTTCTCGTGACGCTCCGAGTTGATAACCTAGAGGAACGTTAGTATTAGAAGAACATGCTCAGGGGGGGGGTAGAAGAAAGGATTTACCTGCTTAAGCATGCTAGCACGCTTTGGAATCTGGGCGCAGATGTTCTGGTCAAACAGAGTCTGGGCGAACACCAAGATGGTGCGAGACTTGGCCTCGATGCCCAGTTCCTTTGCCTTTACATAGATGCTGATAGAATCAACGTTGTCAATGCCACCCTTCTCTGCAGCTTGTGCTTGGATCCAATCACCAAGTTCATCGTAGATGGTGTTGCCACCACCCTCCTCATCGTCTTCAATGCTCAGCTTCTGCTTGAACTCGCCTGGAAGCTGAGCCTGGCGAGCCTTGACGGCCTCCTCGCTGACATCAACAGACCACTCATGGTCCTTGACCTCAGCCTCGACGTCAACTTCAGGTGCCTCAGCCTGCATCTTCTGGAACTCATCATCAGAGCCAGCATCACCAATGTCTCCGTTCTCATTGGAGCCATTCTCTGAGCCGTCTTCACCACTTGCGTGACCGTTCTCCTTGTTTGCGGTTCCATTCTGCTTGGCCTTGCGGGCCGCCTTGCGCTCGGCCTTGTCCTTCTTGCCCTTCTTGGGCTGGTTCTTGAGGATGAAGCCGCTCAGTTTGAGACGAAGATCAACATCGGTGCGCTGACCACAAGCCTTGCAATCGAGGAGAATATGGCCATCCTTGATGACAACGTCTGTCTCTGGGTTCTTACATTTTTTGCAGAGGACGAACTTGTTGATAAAGCCATCGAGATGGTCTTGAAGCTTGGCTGCGTCATGAGCACCGTTGATGATCCATCGGTCATCCTTGGGGTCCATGTTGGTCTGGGCACCCAACTCAAAACCGAAGTACTTGATGACATGGGCACCAGGGCGAGCGAGAGACTGGGCAACGCTGGGCAAGTTGACAACAACGGTTTTGATACCGTTTCCTTTGCCTTCAATCTTTGTCTGGAGACGCTCCATCTTGTAGCGATAGAAGGCGTCGCTGACGTCGCGGCGAACATTGACGAGAGCCATGATGACGAGATTGAATAGGTGTTGTGGTAGATGGATAAATAAGGCGATGCTGTTTTGGTGAGGTTGTTTGGGACTCTATGAACAGGGAGCCGTCATGAAGAGTCTGCAGGTAGCAAGAGAAGTCGAGGAGGGCTGGACGAGGAGTGAAGGTATCAGAGCTGAGGGCGATTTTGGATGAACATAAGGGCAAACTGGACAGTGTCGTGTTTGCAGAAGGGCGACATGAATCGATTCTAGGAACTTCAACCGTCGGAACAAATGTCGGGGCTACTAGGTTTCCGCGGTATGCGAAATAACTGCAGCTTGAAGAGGTGTCTGGACACGGTGACTTTATCGTGCTGATACATAAACAGAAATGTATACGTTCCTAGTCGATATGTGATGCTTGTGCCGAGGGGGCCGGTTGGGGGACAGATGACGATGTAGCGTCAAGGACGAAGGAGGGCAGTCGAAGCTTTTGCAACGATGAACACGATCGCAGTCTGTGCTGGAAGAAGGATTGTTTTACTCTGCGACCGGGGGGTCCGTGTCAACAGGCAACTTTTGGTTGATATACGCAGTGAAATAACCGGCTTTCGAGGGCAGGTTGTTGTTGTGTTGGAGTCAAGAACTGGGTGAGGAAATTTTTATTCCGGTGGGAGGAGAAAAAGAGGAACAAGTTTGATTACCATCGCGCGCAGGCCGGGTTCGTGGACAGTACTGGAGACAGGGCAAATTGGCTCTAACACCATGTTGGGGGTGTGGAGACGGTGTTAGGCGGGTGACACGGTGTCAAAAGCGGACATTTGATTGAATTGATGTTATGGTACAACACTAAGTCGAAACTCGTATTTGCGTCGTAGAAGCATTGCTGTCGAAGCGCAAGACATCATTGCTTGGAATAAATGGTGTTGTCTCTCAATCAACTGGCAAAAATGACATGGTGTTGCGCGTTAAACATGGTGTCGCTTTTGCTCACTGTCAGGTTTTGACACCATGTCAAGTCGGCCACACTGTCTGGTGCCATCTCCCCACTGACAGCTCCGCTCACAATGTCAGCATCCACGTTTTGGGGATATGCCACCAATGTCAACTCGATTCACAATGTCGGCATTCATGTTATGGTGATATGCCATCACAGTCAACTCGATTCACAATGTCAGCAGTCATATTACGGCGATATGCCACCACTTCAAGCGCCGCCAACAACCGGCCGGGTCCATGTCAGGGCGATCTCAGTCATGCTAAGGCGCTGAGCACTTCGTGAACACTTCGCGAAAGGATCAAAATTCATAGAATTAACAGCGGGTTGGAGGCAATTCAGCCTTGAAGATTTATTATTTGACTATGATAACGTCTCAATCCCTGCCCACTTTGTGAAATATTGTAGATCTTCTCCTAGACTCGAAAGTATTACTACCAAGGACCAAGCAAAGTGTGTGAATGGGTGGACAAACCTATGCCTTTGACGAAGTGTCTAGGCCTTGGATGATGGCTCCTCTGTCTCGGAAGTGCCAGAATCAGTTGAGGATTCGACTGTGTTGCCATTCTCTAACTGCTTCTCATACTGCTCAAACGCTTCGTTCTCAGCCTCTAATTCCCGGGTGAAGAATTCTATAGCGGCCTCCCAGAAGGCATCGGTGGTGATGCCATGCTCAAGTCCCTCCTCCTAGGCAGGGCGCGATGGTGCTGGTGTTTCATCCACCTTCTCCTTGGTGTCGCGGCTCCCCATGATGAAATGACTATAATCTTGGTTAGCAGTTGATTTGTCGCTGGTTGTTCGAATATAACTAACTGCTGAATATAGGATGTTTGTGAATATATGTCGGCTTGTTAAGTGATGCTGGATTTGTATGTAGCTGGAAGGGATGGTGGGAATTCACAAAGCGCCAACCTGACGCGATATCGCGTAGAGGCTAGATTTGGCTGTGCCTTTACTCACCGCCCTTGGTATACTGGGCAATATTGTGAACTTCTACTCGCCTCAGAGAGCCTCTCTAAAGGTCTAGAATTAAAATCCAATGGGTGTTACAAGCACTCAAAAATCACATGTGTGAACCAATCAGCAGCCTACGTGTTGAAATAGAATATCAGAATTGCTTTCCCATTGAAAATAAACCTAATCTCTCTCTACTTTGTGAGCTGCTAGAAGATCTAACTCCAATTTATCTCGGCGCCACCCATCGTGAACCCATATCAGTGCAAGTCTAGCCATGAGGAAGACCGCTTCTAGCTATCATAAGATGTTGCTCAGTTGCCCATTTAACCCTTGAAACCCATTTAAATGCTCAAAATAACTTTTCGCCGTTAGAATGCTCGATCCCATTGAATTGTTTCGTTGCTCATCATTCGTAGTCGCTTCCAAAAACGATCTCATGCTGTCTTCGTATCGATTTCAGGATCTTTACGACCCTAATTCACTTCGAGACCACCGCTGGCTGCCTCGGGATGGCTATCTTTGTGCTCGTCCATCTCAGAAACCTGTGATGAGAGGGGGACCTCATCGGGATTGATGGCAGGATGCTCAACCGCCTCAGACACCTGTGTTTGGAGGGGAGTCTCTGCCTCAGAAACCTGTGCTGGGCCGGCTGTCTCCTCGAGATGGCAGTCTGTGTGCTCAACCGCCTCGGAAACCTGCGCTGGGAGGGGAGTCTCTGTCTCAGGAGCCTGTGCTGGGCCGGCTGTCTCCTCGGGATGGCAGTCTGTGTGCTCAACCGCCTCGGAAACCTGCGCTGGGAGGGGAGTCTCCTCGGGATGGCAGTCTGTGTGCTCAGGCGCCTCGGGGTCCTGGGTTGGGACGGCTGTCTCCATGGTTGTGGATGTCGCCTGGGCAGCCTGATCACCCTGTTCTGCGCTGGCGTCTTCGACATTGATTGTCGGCTTGAAGTCTTTGGCATCGTCGATTTGGAACTCATCGGCGCCAGCCCAATAGCTGAAATACTCCTCACGTTCCCCGTCTGTGATATCTTTATTCTTCTTGTGGAGTTTGCCGATTATCGTGATACGCTTTTGTTTGATGTGGTCGAGTGAGGCCTTGCCGGTTTTATCTAAGGAATACATGTCGCGGCCATTCCCAAGCTTGCAAACAATCCAACCTCTAAGGGTTTTGTAGATACCCTCTATTGCAAACATTAGTAGAGAAAATATACTGGGGATTATTGAGATTCTTACCGTTGGGAGCAAGCATACTCTCCATCTTCAGATCTCCTTCGTCCTCCTCGTCCTCTGTTTGTATCTGTCCCTTGGGTTGCTTGGCCCGCTTACGCTTTGGTGGGGGAGCTGGCTGATTCTGCTCATCTTCGTTCTCTCCGTCCTCTGATTGCATCTGTCCCTTGGATTGCTTAGCACGCTTGCGCTTTGCTGGGCGAGCTGGCTGACTCTGCTCTGGGCCAAGAGAATTCTCCCCTTCTACCTCTGCTCCGGGCACCTCTGAAGGGGGAGAGAGATCAGTGAAGATAAGAAAGAGCTGCGACTTGGACGCGCCTTTGGGAAGTCTTGGTTCCAGTTTCGTGTTCACATTAGGGCGGAGTTCGTATGCGCCGCGACGGATGGTGGTTGCCAGGGCAGGGAACATTGCCGCAAAAGATCCCCATGAACTGGGGAGCCCATCCTCTTTGTATCCTTCCATGGCCTCGAGTGCGCCAGCTAGCATCGTTGAGGTTGGTCCGGCAAGATACTCCCTGTCCTCCTTGAGCCTGGAGCTGCCGACGGGTAGTTTCGAGTTTTCCAAGGCTTTGAGGCATGCCCGATCGAGGGCACGGTACCATGGATGCTCACGACAAGCATAATTCTTGTCAGGCATCTAAGACAAATTAGTATTGTGATGGACAGACTTTGGTAGGTGGAGGACATACTGTTGAGGATGCGCCACTTGGAGTTTGTGAATTACTGACTTCACGGCTAGACTCTGAGGATGTCTAGGCTGTTGGTATCGAAAGCCGCGATCGCTGTGTGTGGAAGGACGAAGAAACTCATGCAGCAAAACTTTGCGACTGCTCTGCGGCGAAGAAGTTTGATGGCCTTTGGAAATGCCAGCAATATAAGGGAGGGCTCCTAGAAATTCTTATGATAATTATATCGAGCAGCGATAAGAATACTGTTGGTGCGCCCTTCTAGTGCTTGCGATACGTTGTCGCGAAGAAGTTTTGGTGTTGCGAGGGTGGAGGAGGAAGAAAGTTGGCGCACAGGAGAGGAGGAGTTCTGAAATGTGCGCGCATCGCGGTGTGGAAGGAGAGGACGCGCCTTCCTTTGTCGGCGCCTCCTAGAGAACAGGTAAATATTATACCTCGAACTTTGTGAATGAACCAAATAACCGAATATGGCATTTTGATAAAGTTGAAGCAATTGATGATACTTGGACGCGATTTAATTGAAACATCACAGATACCGCAATTGGTTCGTCAGAGATGGGTGAGGTTGTGAAGCTGCTCATGATCTCTAAGTGATGTCATAGTACGCCTCTCGGCCCAGCGCGACTTATTAATTCTGGGCTCATTTTACCGCGTTGGAAAGATAGAAATAGTGGAAATAGAGTATTTATTAAAAATCATTATGATATTTGTTATTTAAATGTATGACGACGCATTGGATGTGTGAATATGTGATATTGAGGTGGTTGAATTAAAGACATCTACATGCGTCTAGGGTAAGAAGTGCTTAAAATCCCCAAATTGTAATATCGCCGAGGCTAAGAATTTGTGAATTTCCCGATATTATCACAACCCATTTTCCCAGGCAGCCAATTGCCTCACCAGATAACCATAACAGACTTTGCGAAAAATTAGTAAAAGATGAGATATCGCCAGTAGAATCCTTCAGCACACTATGCGACACCAGCCAACGCCAAGAGTTTTCCCGCCCATTGAGTAAACTTTGTGAATCCCAAATAAAATGTCTATCGCCGGCTCCAAAGAGCATCAAAACATAACAGAAGAGAGTATCGGCCGGGCTTAATCATCGTCTGGGATGTAAAGCTGCGTAACCACTCCCGAATCGGTCGTTGAAGAAACCTTCTGCCTCTTTTTCTCGCTTGATTTGACACGATTGAAAACAGAGACCTGGCCAATACTGGGACGGAATTTGTCGTATTCCTTCGCGGTGCCGTAATTGTCGAAACGTTCCATGATAAGTTTCTTGGTGTAGTCCAGGTTATCACTGGGATCCGATCGCTTGATGCCATATTCCTTATTCAAGTACATCTTCATACAGGCGCCCAGGTCGACAAAAATAACTGGTGATTGGCGGGTTAGGCGACGTAAATTCACAAAGTATGCTGATACTTACTTTTGCACCATCGGATGACTTTCTTGGTATCATCATCCTTGCCTCTGAGATTGATATGACCCTTTGCGAACTGGAAGACGTTCAAATAGCTGTCAATCTCGAACTTGTCAGCGAGAATACTCTGAGCGTATTGTATGCTGCCTGTAATTTTGAAGGGCTTGGAGTTCTCGATCTCGACTCTGATCCAGTTCTCCATTGCAGTAATGATACGACTCTTCCAGGTATTCACATTGTCGAAGAATCTCCTGTGTGACTCGCTGATGGCAAAATCTTTCTCTTCGCCGGAGAGATCCTTGAAGTAAAAGTCCTGGAGAAGACGCAGCCGACTTTTATTGAGGTCAATCAGCATAACCCGCCGAGACCCAAGTAGAAACTTATCCAGCTTCTCTTTTACTGCATCAGTAAATTTGTCGTCACTCTTCACATACTTCCTCTTCTTGGTGGGAGTAAGAGGAGGCGTAAGTTGGGAATCCTTGGAAGATGAGGTGCTTGTTAATTCTTCCTTTGTGAATTTATTAGTATGAGTTACCACTCAGAAATCAAATACTTACCGTGCGGCGATCCGCAAACTTGCCGAACTCATTATCCTCGCTTGATTTGTCGCTCCCCGCCGTAGCAGCGACGGTCTCAGCGCCTTCAGCACTGGCATCCCTTAACAGCGGGTCAATCTGGCTTTCACAAACTTGTGAGGGCTCATTTTGACCTTCGTATAAGGTCAGTATATTTCCAGTGATAATCCACAGCTTCCTATAGGAGGCCCTCCTGCTGGAGAGGAGTGGAACTCACTCGCGGCGGTAGCGGACCCCGAGCTTTCTTGGGTCGCAGGGATAATTTCAACATCCGACATAATGTTATAAGGATTGGCAAGGCTGGGAAACGCAGAGTAATAGAAAAGTAAAGCCTGTATCGCAGCTGGCAGGATGGTTTCAAGGTTGACGCGAAATAGTCGCGGTGGGTTGTAGAGAGAAGGATTTTGGCAGCCGCGGTGTTGCGCCTCTGGCCATAATGACCCCGCCGTCACAGCACAAAGAAAGAAGTAAATTGAAATGTGCTTTAGGGAACTGAGGGCGGTCGTGATGTCAGCTGCGGGGGGGAAACCCTCTGTAAATAGAAGCTACAGTTGGTTTATTAGCGTGCGATGCTTACGTAAACCCACTAACCACCCCACTAACCTCGGTGGCGGGTCGGCTGCACCTCGAAGATCGTGTCGATAAAGTTGACCCACATACCACGAGATCGCCAAGTCCGCACCAATTATCATCAGCCTCCAGACTTGAATCGGACAATTGTTTCACAAAGTTTTACACGATGCCTCGCAGACGTCCGTATTCTTTGAAGCGCGTAAGGGAAAGCGGTGGAGGAAACCAAAGTACAGATGATTTTGGAACATGGGCAGATCAGCAACAAGACGCGAAGAAACAACATACCGCAGACTCCTCGACTTTGCGAATCAGCGATGAGTCCCAGACCCAGATCGACCCTTCTCTCCGCGTGAAAGATTGGATAGAATCCAATTTTCATACAGATAGAGAAATTAATGATTCAAGTAATCATGGGATTCTACCTTTAGATGATGATCAGGTGTCAGCAGCAGCTAGTAATGCATCAGATGTTTGTGAAGTCCACAATGATGCAGAGCACGCCCTTGACATTATCAATCGTATTATCAGAGGAGAACCAAGTAACGAGCAAGAAAATCCACACGCCACTGTCGAAAACACACTCGAAAATGATCAAGTCGGCCCAGAAATGATGAGTGATGACGAAGTCCAGCGTCCAGATGCGGGCGTTGAACTTCCAGATGACGATGGATTCGACGATGCTGAGGATACCAACACACAATTTGAGAATGGTGATGGGAATGCACAACTGGAGCCCCAGGATTTGCCCGAGTCCATCCAAGACAGCGTCACAGAACCCGCCGATAGCATCAGCTGGTCAGAAACCGTACAAGCTAACGACGGTAACATTGGCGCGAGTCCGCAATCCCCCGTCCATGACGAAACTATTGAGATCTGCCATAACTCCGAGCCTTTCCAGCTTTCAACGTTTATGACCGCGCTTACATTATGGGAAGAGAGACACAACATTTCTCGGCAGGCTCACCTTGAGCTGAAAGAGGTATTACTTTTACTCGACAATCTCGAAGACGTCAAAGAAATACCACGGCGGAAGGATACATTGCGACGCTGTCTGAGAGGAAGTCTGCCACTCATGAAGCTTCGCAAGAAAACCCTCAATCTTGATAAGAGCGTCTTGCCATCTAGGTCCAAACTCACAGAAGATCTTCTGGTGTTTGATATCAAGGCAATGTTGGAGATCTTCCTTAGTACAGAGTCGAACGTTAAGTCTATCTATCGCGGAATGGCACACCGAATCGACGGCGAGGTTGAAGAACCATGGCAAGCTCGCTGGTGGGGAGAATCTATCCGGACAACCTCTGGGCAACACGCTGTCGATGGAAATGGTAACCCCCTATTTCCCTCTGATTTTGTTGAATGGATCTGCGATATAGCGGGTTGTGAAAGCCTTCATGCTCGCCATATTGGGCGGATATGTTGGTCTGGCCTTGATTTCAGGTCAAACTCAACGGAGCCTGCCGGAATTCACAAAGTTATTCTGGAAATACAGAGGGTCTACGAAACAACAACAATCCCTGACAAGCTGGCCGCACAAAGATCACAGGCAAAATTTTCACACATATCACATGCACACAAAGAGCTTGTTGTGGTCCAGGATGACCTAGCCATAATCACGCCAGCCCAGATCAAACAAAGAATCCTCGGCGTTCACATAGATTACGCCTTCGACCCTACGACCATTTCCCCCGAACCACTGAGTGCACCATATACGGTCCGATATTTCTTTAATTGCAAGCGGCAAAGCTTTCGCCCTGCCCGCCTGACAACGCAGCTTCGCGGAGAGAAGGAAATTTTAACCTATGGCCGGCAATATCTTGCAGCTCGTTTTACCAGCGCCGACATGGTTTCACTTCCAATGTTTCTCTTCATGGATGCTTTTGGTTTGTTCCGAAATATGTACCGAGCCATCGATGGATATTATCTGATCCCCCAATATGTCGAGAGATCACAACGAAACAAGCGTAGCAACCTCATCCCGCTTACTCTTGGCCCATTTGGTTCAGATATGGCAGATGCTATATCGGGTCTCTTCCACCTCCGTGAACTAGATTCTGGAACTGACGTCGTTATTAATGGTAAGAAGACATTTATCTGTGCCTTCGTGGGGGCAATTCTAGGAGATATGCCCTCGCAACAAAAGCTTTCTGGGTGTCTGTCGCACAAAGCTGGCAGACCATGTCGGCATTGCCTAATCTCGAACGAAGACCGCGGTAACCTCGACTTTAATATTGTCGAGCTTGGTCGATATGGAGAACAGATGCTGCTTGACTCTAAACGCATCCGAAACGAGCCCAACAAAACTCGACAGAACAGGGCAGCAATTGCTCTAGGGATCCATGAGAAGTGGGATCTCATGGACAACCTAGGTACGTGGGCTGTCTTATAGTTGTCGGATAATTTGACTGATATACCCTTAATAGATGTATTATTCCCTGCTCTCGACCGGATTCGGACTCGCCCAATTGATGCGGCACATTCAGAATACCAAGGAATAGGAAAACTCCTTGTGGGTTTAATTTTCAACGACGTCTTGTCGCCAAAAGGAGCAGACCTTGCGAACGAGGCATTCCGAACATTCCCCTTTCCTCCAACTTGGAGACGTATCCCGGGCCCTAAGCGACATTTGGATTCTTACGGTATGCAAGAATGTGCTCGCATTGTTGTGATTCTCCCAGTACTCCTCCGATGCTGGTTAAAGAGAGTCCATATCAAAGAGGCGGTTGCTGCCGCTATGGAGTCTATAGCCACCGACTACTTTGATATGGATTCATTCTCTGACCCAGCATATCGGTTTACTGCTGTCGAGTGGACAATTGCTGCTGCATGGGCCTTTACACGATCTCTGCTCTTCGTCTCTGGGCCGTACTCCTCTGATAGGCAAAGAGAATTCCAACAAGCTGTCTACCGTGGCCGGAGAGCCGTCCAATTTCTTCTTACCGCATGCTCCCACGCAACCAGGCTGAAAAATGGTAAGATATTCGCCGCTTTGTGAAATATCAGAGAGCTAATATTCAATAGTTGGTAGAAATCCCAGGAGACCAAATACCCGTACAAGCCAGATCCATGAGCTGGAGGTTCTAGCACCATCAGAGGCAAACTTCAGTCAGGTCTCCGCCATAAATACTGTCGCACGCGTTACCAATATTGCCAATAGCTCTGTAGCCCCAGTTAGCAAGACCGACAAGGTCAAGTATTATGAAGACAAGAAGAAGCTACCGAATATGCACGCAGGGCTCCATCACGCCGAGGTAGCAGAAGAATATGGTGGATGCCGAATGGTGTTTACCTTGCAAGGCGAAGACAAGCACAAGTAAGCTCACCTCCTCCTATTCACAACGGTATTACAGCTAATAGCCGAAGGGAATATAAACTCGATATAACTTCAACCAACTTCCAGAATGCCGCCGCAACATTGATACACCGCCAGAATTACCGCATGACGGTTAGCCTGGGGTTTGAGGGCTGTTTTGCCGACAAGCATCCACAGCTACACAAAACATTTACTGCGATCAAGGATAAATGCCCCGATCTCGCCAGAAATCTCCATCCAAGATCCCGAGAGCCTCTAGAAATTGAAGAAGACGATATATCTGAGCTCCGGATAGCAGCTGATGCAAATCACCTTGCACCTCTCGCCCTGCACCGGCTCAAGCGGCCGCTAAAAAACGATCTCACCACTGGATTCCTAGGCATCGTGAAGCCTCAGTTGCTTGACCGAGAGCATGAATTTATTATCGGATTGGACGCGGCGTACAGGAATGACTGCGCTATGCCGGGGTTTGCAGCCTCGAGCAAGTGCCACCTCCAGTGGTGCCACAAAGTCGCATTCACAAACCAGTAAGCGGAGATGGAATGGCTGCGCATCCGAGCAAGACAATACTAATTTGACTTCATAGGAAAGATCGAAGGTTCTGCTTCTCAGTTGGTGATTTCATCTCGGTAGAATACGGACCCGCCCATGATTTACGGTATGCTAAACTCATTGGACTTTTCGTCCACACGCGGCATACTGCCAAATATTTATTTGCAGTGGTAAATCTCGCAAAGATACGTACGGATGGGCATGCTAGAGAGATGATCTTGGAGTACCCAATATATGACATTAGTGGTGAGCAGGTTATTGTTGGTTTATCACGAATTGGATCTGAGAGAATCTGGATGGTTCCTCGCTATGATGGAAGTTTTCTGTTCGTAGATTTTAACGTCTACTTCATGTAATTGGACTTGGAAAGTTCACACAGTTTATTATTAAATCACTTGTTGCTGGTAGAAAATAAGGAATCTGTATCATCATAATGTCAAAGATCCATATCAATTACAATTATCCCATATGCACCCATACAAAGATGCCAATGATTTTTAAAACAAATACTCTCGGGTAGCCAGCTCGGCGCCACTCTCATTTGCAAAGGCAAGGTGAGCAGGAAGTGAGGTTGGGGTGAGGTGCCTCAGGTCACCACTTTCTGCCAGCTCCTTCCTCCCAACGCGCCACCCATTCACAACGCGCACGCGTCCGCTCCATGCTGGCGTCTCCTCTCCATCTTCTTTTTCTTGCTTCAAATATGCGTATAGCATCACTTCTCACGCAACTTAGCCTTCGTGGCCACCAAAAAGCGGCCAGCTTCGCCTCTAACTCTCCTCTTACGTCGTTTCTCGCATAAATCATGCAACTCCATGCCATATACCGCAGCCAAATGGGAGAATTATCGGTCTTCTTCTGCCAGGGCAGTATTTCCAACCTTTATGGAGGACAAATTCTGACATTCTTCGTGCATACACAGAAAAATGTCGACGCATACCATCCCCTTGCCTCGCCCAAATTGTCTATGTGCATTCAACTTGATACAGCCTCTTTCGACACGACTTTGCGAAGGAGACACCCTCCCCTCTTCCGATCCTTGATGAAAAATTTTCACCTAACATCATGATTGCCTAGGGCTTTCTCAACTCTCCGGACGCGCGAGTGTCTACGATACACTGAGGCTACGCAAGCTGACAATCACTTCCGGCTCCAGCCACAAAAGGTCTGTGTCCTACTCCCTACCGAACTTTCGAATTAAAACCCACGCTGACCTCTCTCTCGTGATATCACATTAGTCCGCGAAGTTGGCAATTGTTTCATGCTCCTGGGAGTTCGCCCTCACCCATTCAGAGGAAGAAGGACAAGGCTAACCATGTGCACAGATAAAACATCACCCCCTCAGCAGTACCTTACCCATGAGATATTTCTATCGCCGGCAATCCACTACTGTGAGTTTGTGAACCGATTGCAAAGGCTATCCGCCCAATGTTGGGAGCAATTGGCTAACATTTCGCCTACACATATATTGTTCGCAACCGCCATTATTGACCAGACCAAGGATACATCAATTGATTTATGAGTACAGTATCAATTACTGCTATTCACTGCTTCCTCACAGCTTTTTCACACTGATACTCCCAGGGGCGCATTGGTCAGTACACATCAGGGCATCTCGTTCTATCTTGCTTCCAGCTAATCAATGAACACTTTGCAACAAGACTTCCAGCAACGTCCAGGTCAGGCCAACAAACGTGCTCGGACACTGCTCAAGCATACCTCATACTCCTCTGCCATAGAAGTAAGCTCCTAACTTCATGGGATATACACACTTTTAACCTACCTCATAGGTATATTATCACGCTATTCCTATGCCTCTAGAGTCGCCAGGCACCTAGGATTTATATGTGAGTATATTTTGGATATCCTGGCAGTCTGAGGTTTATTTTGGTAGTGTTTTGGTATTGCTTTGATGGTGTTGGTGCCGGTGAGTTTTCCCTCAACGCCGACTTTTCCATCGTGATACTAAAATCAGGCTTCACTTTAGGCAAAATACGTCGACGCGATTTCCGGTTTGCGCTTTGCCCGGCGGCCGAAAAAAAACTCGAAGCCATAATCACGCTGAGGCCCTGAATATTTTGAGATAAGTGTCACTCCCCCGCAGGCGCTTTGAGCCCGGACCTAACCTCACCGCCAGAAATGAAGCTTTTCGCGATATCCTTCGGCTTCACTCGATCCTACGTCCCTTCTAGGTACCGTGAGAGGCCGCCAATGTCCCTTTTTTCAGTGGCGCATCCATCATTTCGCACCGGCGCAAACTATCGGGGGGACACGTCAGCAGACGAAAAGTTAGATGGTCTTGTGAACACGAGAAACGGAACGCATCGGCATAAGAGCAGAGTTGGGAAGGATTGGAATGAACAGGCTGTTGGCGCATAGACATGGGGATTTTGGAACAGTATTACAGTAGCAATCAAATTGCAATGCTTCGACACAATGTTTTCTCACACATGCATTCGAGAAGTGGACATGGTGATATGTGCGACACCCGGACTAGGATGCAACACTATATTGCATTTGTGTAACGCTGTTCAGCTGGTCATGAGGAATGCTCTGCTAGTATGTTGAGCCCGTGCAAGCCTGTCGGCGCGCTGCAATTGCTATTCACACAGACAGCCAGTCCAGCCACAAACGGGCAGACAGAAATGACATGGCGTTGAGCTGCGGTCGCCATGTCAGCACCAAGACGCTGTCAGCAAGCTGCACTGTTGGCGCCGAACAGTGTGACAGCCCGACGCCATGTCAACAGTTCGACGCCACTGTCAGCGCTGCAACCTGTCGGCACCCCAACACCTTGTGGGGCGACACAGAATGTCCAAAACAATTGCTGTCAACATTAAAAGTTTTGGTCATTCTGTCGCCCCCTGACAGGCTGTCCCCAGTACTGTCCACAACCCCCCACTGCGCGCGATGGTATGTACCTCTGTGTCAGTGAGTGGAGGGCGGAACAACAGGACTTGCCTAAGGCCGAGTGTGGCGGCTTTTACTTGGGCCACATAAGGCGTTACAGCAGTTATAGCGGCGCCAGGCAGGGAAGCTGGGGAAGTGAGTGTGCTGGAAGTACCGGCCAGATACCTACCCACGCCCACTAATCTAGCGCTGAAATTGAGGAGCAGATTTAAATGGAGGGGTCGTTTCGACAGGTCGCACGCATGTACCTGCGAGATCGTCCAGGTACCAACTACCTGCCTGCTGGTATGGGCGCGTCCCGGTGCTTGGCCAATCAGTTCCGGCCGAGGCATTCAAGGCGTCGCACAAAGGTTTCCCGGCAAGGAATAGGGCAAGCCTCACACTGGCCCGTGATTGAAATATGAACATGCGCGACTCAGTCTCAATGAAGGGAGGCCCACCCGACAAATGTGTTTGTTGTTGCCCTGTTTTGGTGCCTACCTATGTATGTACACGACGCTGAGGGGGCCTGGGTATGGAGGTATGAAGTACTGAGTATTTGATGAAACATGACAGTATCTTTTCCTCAAACTCAAAGTCCGCGTCTGCCAAATGCCTCTTCAGTTTCATAGTATGATTCATCCACCTAGCCACAAGCACAAAGCGGCACGGTTCATGAGGCGTCGCCAGACTTTCAGGTCAGACCGAACAAAGGTCCCCCTCCCTGGTTGTAAGAGCTCGTGGGAATCGTGGGCACTTAGTTAGAATACCTACAAATAGCAAATACAGGTTTCACAAATGTGCCAAAACAGGCACCTACAATTTACTACCTACCTAGGTACCTAACCTACCAAATGTGTGCACAAGTACCTATCTACTCAGTAGGTAGCCCCTCAGTACTTACAATCGTTGAAGCTACAATACCTGTGACACCAGGCAGGGAGGGATATGTTATTTCTCGCTATTGGTCTTCCCTGGCATATTTGTGTCTTGAGATAGCAGTCTCAGTATCGGCCAGTTCCTCCACTCTCTTCTCAAGAAGGGAGGTCTCACATACGATCGGCAGTGGAATATTACCACTCTGCTGCTGTGCCAGTAGAGGTGTCTCTCGGGTTTCAGGATAGGGTTTCAAATGTTCCCGTGTAGGTGGATGGCAAAGAAACTGCCATGATCAGTTTACTTTGATTAGCATTACTAGTTGAGTATGATAGGAAGCGATTGAGACGTGTTATACTATGTTCTGTTTGTAAATTTTCTTCGTTCTGTTCGTTGCTTTTAGAGTCGTGGCAAACCCCTCCTCTTCTCTGACCCCCATCTATCAGGCAAATTACATTCTACTGTGTGATACTGATATCGGTGTGGTTTCCCTGCACCCAATTGCCAGTATGAAAGCGTACAACGCGTAATTGATGTACATGCGTACTATTGCAACGATCCAGTGGTCTTTTCCAATAATGGGGCCGACATGTGACCAGGTGAGCAAGCAGGCCTACAGACAAGCCCGGCGAATAAACAACGAACAAAACATGGATGGGAGTCTCTCACAAACCCCACCGAGAAAGAAACCAACCATTTAGCATGGATGGAAGACGACAAGAGGAACAATAGGGTAGCATTCAGGCCAAAATGGAAAAGGACAGAACTGGCATCAAGAGTGAGTTGTCTAGAGTGGATCTGTAGGGTAACTACCACATGCATGGGGATGCGGGAACATGGCCAAAAATAGCATCTAGTGAATGACATAATTCCAGGGTAGCCTTAATCGAATAAGCCCACATTTGAGCGACAGCCCTTGTCATAATATTGGCCAATTGTCGCCTCTCAATGGGACCATGCAGCAGTTGATAGGCATCGCAGGTTGTATCATCAGCACATGGCCAATTCCGGTGATCCAGACATAGCGAAACCGGTATAGTACGGCCACCTGCTCCTAAAAAACCTAGGTTCTCAGCTGGAAATGGCTCACGACGCCCGCTCAAAGAAGGCTAGCAGTCTGACTTACAATCCAAACTCGTGGTCTGGGCACCACTAAAAGGTCTAGCACCTATAGGCTGTGCGGGGAAATTACTGGCAGTAATAAGGGCAGGTATCTCGTGAGAATATCTTGGGATCCATGTCAGCACATCTCACTAGCGGGGCTAGTAAGGATATTGCAAGGCAGCTTAATACCGATCCACTTACAGAGAGTTCAAGGCCATATTGTGTTTCGCCCATTGAT